GTCGACGACCGGCTGAAATGTCCTCCTGGCTGGAGATCAACGGGNTCCCCCCGGGCGTGGCGACGAAATATTTTAGAGCCGCGTCGTGCGGGAGGGCCCTCGCGCTTGTGGGCGGCGGCGATGCCCCGCGCGAGTGGGACTTGGACGCCGTGCGGTTTGTGAAGTTGTGGGGCGCCGAGGACGCGCTCCCCGACGGGGCCGCGCGGGCGTGAGAGGCGGGCGAAGAAGCCGCCGGGAGCAAACGGAGGGCGGGGCGGTAAGGTTCCGTTGGCGGTTTTTTTTTTTTTTTTTGTTTGCGTGGTCTCTCTCGCTGCGCCCGCAGCGCTTCCCACCGCACCCGCGCCTGACTTTTTTTTTTTTTTTGCTTCTGCCTCTCCTCCTCCTTTCCCCGCCGGGCAGGGCGGGGGCCACATCAACGCAGCGGCGCGATGCCACGCACAACCGCGGCGGCGGCGCGGCCGAAGGAGGCGCAGGCGACGAACGAGCCGGCGGAGGCGAAGGAGGCGAAGGAGGCGCAGGCGAAGGGGCCAGTCATGTCCCGCGCGGCGCGGCGGCGGGCGAAGAAGCCGCCCGTGACTGTGACGTCGGAGATGCGGGAGGCGGCGCGGGAGCGGCGCCGTGAGTTGCGCAGGCACCTCCGCCTGCTGAAGTCCAACGGGGCGCGCCGGAAGCTCGCCGCGGCGCGGGCGAAGAAGCGGGGGCGGGAGACCACCGCCGCGGAGGAGGCGTGCGCCCACCTCGGCGAGGGCGCCAGGCCGCTGAAGAGGCAGAGACGCGAGTAAACGCAGCGGGGGCCGAACAGCGAATGCAGCATACATTCAAGCATCCAATTATTTAATTATAATTATATACGTGTGTGCTTGTATTTATGTTTGAAGTTGCCACGAAGAGTACAAATTAAGCAGCAGCGACACTGCGTGTGTGTTCTTTTTTTTTACTTTTTTGTTGTTGTTTTTTTTTATTTATGCCTGAGGTTTGGCTGTGCGGCACGTGCGGCAACCGCACATGGACGGTGCCTGCTGTGTGATTGTTTTCCATTCCTTTCCTCCTTTCTCCCTTTCTCTCGCTATGCCCCTCCCGCCCCCTGTTTTGGCCCGCCCGCGCAGAGTTTCCTGCGCAACGGGAACAAAATCAGCAGCAGCAGCAGCAGCAGCAACAACAACAACAAAAAAAAACAAGTAGAAAATGAAGCAGCTGCGGCGTGGGCCTTCGCCGCCGTCGTCGCCGTCGCCGCTTCAGCACGTGGTGGAGGTGCCGGAGGAGATGCTGAAGGACAGGACCGCGCGGGAGCGGCGGGCCATCACGCGCGGGTACCTCGCCCAGTGGCGGCTCGAGGAGAAGGAACGGCCCGTCATTGAGCAGGTGGTGCGGCAGAAGATGGCGGAGGGCGCCGCCCAGCCGCCGCACATGCGCGCGCCCGCCCCCCCACGGCGCCCGCCGCCGCCGCAAGTGCGCGACGCCACGGCGGCCCCGCTGCAGGTGCGGCTGCCGAAGGTGCTCGTCCGCTCGCTGCCTTCGCTGCGGGCGGCGAGGTCCCCGCCGTCGCCGGAGTCGTGCCGCAGCGCCACGCCGCCGCCGCCGTCGCCGCCCGTGTCGCCCACCGGCACAACAACAACAACCGCCACGGTGGGCGCGACGACGATGACGCCGGGCCCTGCCCACACCCGCGCGTACTTCCAGCTTGAGGACTTCGACAACGCGGACTTCGAGACCCGCAGCCCGCAGGAGTGGGTGCAGCTCGGCAAGAAGGACGGCGGCACCCCGGCCCGCTCGCGCTACTTTGACAAGCGGAGCAACGAGGTGCAGTGGCTCCCGTGCCGTGTCGTCGCCTACGACGAGGAGCGCGGCTGCTACCAGATTGTCTGGGAGGTGAACAGCTGCAGCAAGTGGACGAAGCGGCTCAACATCATCTTCGACGCGGAGGACGAGGCACTGTGGCACGAGCGCGTGCGGCAGGCGATGGCGTACCGGGCCGAGACCGAGGCCGCGCTGCGGGGGCAGATGTATGTGCAGGCGATGGACGGCAGCCACCTCGCCCCGATGGACCCGGAGCAGATGGACCGCATCCTCGGCCTCGTGGCGAAGCGCTTCCCCCTGACCTCCCTGCACCTCGTGGAGCAGTGCACGCGCGAGGTGGAGGAGCTCTACTACTTCAGCCTGAAACGGGCGCAGCACTGGCGCGAGATGGCGGACCCTGCGGAGCAGCGGCGGGCGGAGTTGTTGGGGCTGCCGCCGCCGCCGCCGTCACTGTTAGCGTCCCTCACGTTTCCGTTGTCTGCGGGCGTTGGTGAGCCGCGGGCGGGTCTGCTGCGCGGCACAATAGACACACCCTCGCCAAACTTCCGCGTGTCACGGGAGTTTATTGCGGAGAACTTGTTCCAAACGCACGCGCTGCTGCATGACACGGTGTACTCCATTCACACCCAGTGGAACGAGTACAAGGGGGAGCTGCTGTGCATCACGCACTGGGACCGTCGCGAGACCCCGCTGGAGCTGCGGAACTTTGAGGAGCTGCAGGCGCACCGGGGCTTCAGCATTTCGGAGAAGCTGCGCAGCGAGTGGAGCATCAACATCCGCTGCACCATTCAAAACAACCTCGACCTGCACTTCAAATTCTACGAGGACAACCTGGAGCGCTACACCGCCAGCCGCATGTGCCGCTTTGTGGGCCTTGTGAACCGCATGATGACGTCGCAGCTGCGCGGGCTGCTGCTCACTTCGCTGCAGGAGTTCGCCGCCTTCATCCATCGCTACCGCGTCGAGCCACGCATGGACGACGCCCCGATGGACGAGCTGCAGGAGGACCTGGAGGAGGCGGAGCACTGGCGCCGCCGCCAGGAGGACTGGGACGCGAAACAGCGCGCGGCCGAGGCGGGGGCGGAGGCGGAGCGAACCCGCAACGCAGGCGGCGGCGCAGGCGGGGGCGGGCGCGGGCGGCAGCGCAAGAGCACCGCCCTGCCCCCCCGAGGAGGAAAAGGAGAAGGAGGTGCCGTTTGTCTGGCGCCTCGGAACGTTCCGCAACCACCTGCGCTACACGAAGCGCGTGGTGGAGATGACGATGCGACCGAAGGGTCTGCGGCCGCTCTTTGTGCTGAACCTCGTAGAGGACGCCGGCCGCGTGGCCTTCGCCCCCTCGCTGGAGGACGTTTCGCGGAAGGTGAAGGCCGTCTTCGAGGGCTGCTTCGAGCACGCAGACAATGTGCACGGGATGGGGGATCAGCTCTTCCCGCTGCTGCCGCTGCAGCCGCTGACGCTGCAGCCGCTCGACGTCTCAGACCCGGCCGTCTGCGAGGCCCGCGCGATGGTGGAGAAGGCGCTGAGCGACAACGTCGAGGCCCCGCTGCAGCTGCAGCAGATGTACCAGACATTTGGGTACGCCCTGCAGCTGGACGCGCAGGCGCTGGTGGCCGAGACGAACGCGCGGCAGTTGTCACTGCAGGACTTCGACTGGACCTTCGAGCGCCTCTCGCGTGACCGGGAGCGCGTCGTGCGGAGGACGCCAAACCATGTAAAGTACGAGATGTTCCTCATTGACTGCAAGGGCATCAAGGCCTCCCTCGTCGCGAGGCTGACGGAGCTGCAAAACGCCCTCATGGAGGCGCTGGCGGAGCGGATGCGGAACACGTGCGCGGCGATGATCGGCGAGTACAACACCATGAGCGCCCGCATGGCGGGGGAGCCGCGGTCGCCGGAGGAGCTGCAGGAGTTCCGCGACTTCCTCGACGGCATCCCGGCCCGGCAGGAGCAGCTCAACGCCACCTTCGAGACCCTCACCGAGGGCTTTGACCTCCTCTTCAAGTACAACTACGAGTTCTCCGCCACCGCCTGCAGCGACTACCGCACGGCCTACGAGTGGCCCCGGCACCTGCAGCAGGAGCTGGAGGACGGCAACTTCCGCAGCAAGGAGTACCGCAACGTCCTCATGCAGGAGCTGCGGGACAACTGCGAGACCCTCACCAACGAGATTGTGCAACTGGGCAACGTGGTGGACGACTTCGCCCACTTTGGCGACGACGCCCGCGCCGACGTCTACCACGAGCAGGGCAAGGCGCTGGAGCAGCGCATCAAGGACTACCAGGGGCAGGTGCAGCTGTACAACAGCCACGAGACGCTGTTTGGGCTGCCGCAGTCCAAGTGGCCGCAGCTGAAGGAGATTCGGACGCAGCTGGAGCCGTACTACATCCTCTGGGAGGTCGTGAGCCTCTTCAACAACGAGAGCGAGCGCTGGCTAAACACGCGCCTCTCGGCGCTGGAGCCGTTGGACGTGGACCGGCAGCTGATGGATTGGTCCAAGAAGATTGCGATCATTGCAAAGAAGATCAAGGAGGCGGAGCCGGTGGGGGTGCTGAAGCGCATCCGCGAGAACATCGCCGCCTTTAAGCCGTACGTCCCGCTGCTTTACGCGCTGCGCAGCAACCTGCAGGGGAGCCACTGGAAGGCCATTTACCAGGCCTGCGGGATGCCGAAGGAGAAGCAGGTGCAGGGCACCGGCGGCGCCGACTCCAACGAGGGGCGGCCCTTCAACGACTTCATCAAACTCGGGATGCTGGACTTTCTGCCGCAGATCGAGAGCATCGCCACGGTGGCGCAGAAGTCCTTTGAGCTGGAGAGCGAGCTCATGGCGATGGAGGTGGAGTGGAAGAAGCTGCTCTTCGACATGGAGCCCTACCAGGACACCCACAAGCTGAAGTCGAACGACATTATGCAGCTGACGCTGGACGAGCACATCTTGAAGACGCAGTCGATGCTCGGGAAGCCGATTGTGCGGCAGGCGCCGGCGCTGCAGGCCCGCGTCTCGCGCTGGGAGGCGCTGCTCGACAAGATCCAGTGCACCGTCGACGAGTGGTTCAAGTGCCAGGGGACATGGGCCTACCTCGAGCCCATCTTCTCCTCCGCCGACATCTCCCGCAGCCTCCCCAAGGAAAAGCAGCTCTTCCTCGCCGTCGACGAGTCCTGGCACAAGATCATGGAGCTGACGCGCATGACGCCGCAAATTCTGACGCGCTGCCAGGACGAGACGCTGCTGCGCGTGCTCACGGAGAACAACAACAACCTCGAAGTCATTCTCAAGAAACTGCAGCAGTTCCTCGAGACGAAGCGCATGGCGTTTCCGCGGTTCTACTTCATCTCCAATGAGGAGCTGCTGCAGATTCTGTCCGACAGCAAGGACCCCTACCTCGTGCAGCCCTACCTCAGCAAGTGCTTCGAGGGCATCAAACGCATCCAGTTCGCCGACGCCCACGACATTCTCGCGATGGAGTCGTCGGAGGGGGAGGTGGTGCAGCTCGTCCGCAAGGTGAACCCCGGCGACCACCAGAACCTCGTCGAGCAGTGGCTGCAGGAGCTGGAGAATGTGATGCGGGACACAATCCTTGACCAGCTGCGACAGGCAACGGGCGACTACGCTACCCGCAAAAAGAGAACCGAGTTTCTCCGCGCCTGGCCTGGGCAGGTCGTGATCGCCATCTGCTCCCTCTACTGGACCATGGAGGCGACCGAGGCGATGAGCACCGAGGGCACCGTGGGGCTCACCACGTATCACGAGAAGTGCGTCGCCCAGCTGGACGACCTCATTGTGCTGGTGCGGGACCGCAACTTGGCGGCGGTGGAGCGGTGCACGCTCGAGGCCCTCGTGGTGGTGGAGGTTCACGGCAAAGACATCATTGCGCAGCTCTCCGAGAAGGGCGTGGACTCCCCCAAGAGTTTTGACTGGCTGGCCCAGCTGCGCTACTACTGGGAGGAGGACCACCTGCACGTGCACCAGATCAACGCCTCGCTGCGCTACGGATATGAGTACCTGGGCAACACCGGCCGCCTCGTCATCACCCCGCTCACGGACCGCTGCTACCGCACGCTGATTGGCGCGCTGCACCTCAACTACGGCGGGGCGCCGGAGGGGCCCGCGGGGACGGGGAAGACGGAGACCACGAAGGACCTCGCCAAGGCCCTTGGCAAGTACTGCGTCGTGTACAACTGCTCCGACCAGATCACAGCGAAGGACATGGCGAAGCTGTTCAAGGGGCTATCGCAGTCTGGTTCCTGGGGCTGCTTTGACGAGTTTAACCGAATTGAGATCCAGGTTCTCTCTGTGATTGCGCAGCAGGTGGCGGTTATCCAGGAGGCCATCATTCAAAAGCGCGGCGAGTTTATCTTTGACGGGGCGCAGATCCGCCTGGATTCGGGATGCGCCATCTTCATCACGATGAACCCCGGCTACGCCGGACGTGCGGAGCTGCCAGACAACCTCAAGGCCCTCTTCCGGCCCGTGGCGATGATGGTGCCGAACTACGCCATGATTGGCGAGATTCAGCTCTACTCGTACGGTTTTCTGCACGGCAAGGCGCTGGCGGCGAAGATTGTCGCCACCTACCGTCTCTGCTCCGAGCAGTTGTCGTCGCAGGACCACTACGACTACGGCATGCGTGCGGTGAAGGCCGTGCTGACGGCGGCGGGGGGACTCAAGCGGAGGTACCCGGACGAGGACGAGATGGTGCTGATGCTGCGCTCCATTCAAGACGTCAACCTTCCAAAGTTCCTGACGCAGGACGTGGGACTCTTCAAGGGGATTGTTTCCGACCTCTTCCCCGGCGTGCAGCTCCCGGAGCCGGACTACGTGCACATGCACAACAGCCTCGTGAAGGTGTGCGAGGCCCGCAACCTGCAGCTCACCGAGTACTTTGAGATTAAGGTCCGCCAGACCTACGAGATGATTGTGGTGCGCCACGGCATGATGCTGGTGGGGTTTTCCTTTGGCGCCAAGACGAAGGTGCTGCAGTGCCTTTCCGAGGCGCTTGGGCTGATGGAGGCCTTTGGGAAGGAACGGCGCACGCGCCTCATCACGATGAACCCAAAGTCGGTGACGATGCCGCAGCTGTACGGCAAAGTGGACCCCTCCGGGGAGTGGACCGACGGTATTTTGCCGCACAACTTTAGACGCGCCGCGCAGGACACCTCCAAGGACCGCAAGTGGCTCGTGCTCGACGGCCCCGTCGACGCGGTCTGGATTGAGAACATGAACACCGTCCTGGACGACAACAAGAAGCTGTGCCTCCAGAACGGCGACATTATTCCCATGTCGAAGGAGATGAACCTCATCTTCGAGGTGCAGGACCTGGCATACGCCTCCCCCGCCACGGTGTCCCGCTGCGGCATGGTGTACGTGGAGCCGGACTCGCTCGGCTGGCGCTGCCTGATAGACTCGTACTTCAACACGCTGCCGGAGGCGCTCCGCCTGGAGCCAACCCTCATGGGAGCGCTGCGCTCCCTCGTGGATGTCTTTCTGCCGCCCATGCTGGAGGTGGCGCGCAAGCACGTCAAGTCCGTCATCCCGCAGGGTTCCCTGGTGGCCGTCTCCGGGTTTATCAAGTTTTTCGCCGCGCTTTCCAGCGAGCTGGACGTGGACGAGGACGCGCCCGCCGCCGACACCCACGCCGAGGCGCGGACGCTGCTCATGAAGGTGGAGGGCTGGTTCCTCTTCTCGCTCGTGTGGTCCGTCGGGGGGTGCCTCTTTACGAAGGACCGGGCCACCTTCAACGCCGCGCTGCACGCGGAGGTGGTCACGGCGGCGGCGGCGGGCGCGTACAAGTTCACGCTCCCGCTCCCCGACGGCAGGCACTCCTTCTTCGACGTCCGCCTGGAGACCGCGGGGGAGGTCCGCCTCACGCCGTGGTCCGACTACGTGCCGGAGTTTGCGATTGGCGAGGGCGCAGAGTACCAGGACGTCATCGTCCCCACCAGCGCGCAGGTGCGCTACACATACCTGACGATGCTGATGATTGGCGCCATGCGCCCCATCCTGCTTGTGGGCGACACCGGCACCGGGAAGACGATCATGATGAAGTCGCTGCTGAAGGGGCTTCCCGAGGACGTGTACTCCAACAACATGATCCAGTTCTCCGCCCAGACGACGGCGGGGCAGCTGCAGCGGCTCATCGACGGCAGCCTGGAGAAGCGGCGCAAGTGCGTCTACGGCCCCCCCATCAACAAGAAGATGATGATCTTCGTGGACGACACGAACCTGCCGCAGCTGGAGGAGTACGGCGCCCAGCCGCCCATCGAGCTGCTGCGCCAGTACCTGGACCACGGCGGGTGGTACAACCACACCAAGGACAGCATCGACTTCCACCGCCTGGTGGACATTCTCCTCCTCTGCGCCATGGGTCCCGCCGGCGGCGGGAGGAACCACGTGACGCAGCGCTTCACCCGCCACTTCAACTCCATCGCCGTCCCCGCCTTTGATGAGGCGACGCTGCGCAAGATATTTGGCACCCTCTCCGACTGGATTCTGAGCAAAGGCTTCCCCACCTCGCTGCGCAGCATGAGTGCCGCGCTGGTGGGGGCCACGATTGACCTCTACGAGACGCTCGTGGAGAACCTGAAGCCGTCCCCGGAGAAGTCCCACTACACCTTCAACCTGCGGGACGTGAGCAAAGTGTTTCAGGGCATTGATATGGCCAACCCGGCGAAGATTGTGGACGACCGCAAGTTGTCGACGCTCTGGATTCACGAGGTCTCGCGTGCCTTCGCCGACCGCTTCATCGACGAGAAGGACACCAGCTGGTTCCTCAGTGAGGCGGGCAAACTGTCGATGAAGCACCTCAAACTCGCGCCGGAAAACCTCCTGGACGTGGAAAACCCCACGCTCTTCTCCACCTTCATGAACGACGAAGGCTACTACGAGGAGCTCCCTAACTTGATGGAGGCCCGAAAGGCGCTGGAGAGCAAGTTGGACGCGTACAACCTGAGCACAAATTCGGGCCAGCTGGACCTCGTCGTCTTCAACTACGTCCTGGTGCACGTCTCACGCATCTGCCGCGTGCTCCGGCAGCCGGGCGGAAATCTTCTGCTCGTTGGCGTCGGCGGCAGTGGGCGGCGCAGCTGCGCCAAGGTTGCCGCTTACCTGCAGGAGTGTGACTACATGACCATCACCCAGACAAAGGACTACGACCACAACAGCTTCCTGGACGACATCAGAGTGTTTCTGCTCCGCACTGGCATGAACGGCTACGCGACCATGTTTGTCTTGGCCGACACCCAGATCTCCTCCGAGAGCTTCCTGGAGGACGTCTGCTGCCTCCTCAACACCGGCGAGGTTCCTGGGATATGGGACGCGAAGCAGGACAAGGAGACCTACGAAAATGCAGTGGCGTCGCTGCGTGAAAAGGGGAAGGAGCTTGGGCGCCCGGACACCGCGGAGGCGCTTCAGGCGCTATTTGTCGAGCGCTGCAAGAAGTTTATGCACATTGCCCTCTGCTTTTCGCCGCTGGGCAGCGCCTTGCGGGAGCGGCTGCGGAAGTTCCCATCCCTGGTGAACTGCAGCACCATCGACTGGTTCCGTGAGTGGCCGGAGGACGGCCTGCGCTCGGTTGCCGCGCGGTTTCTTTCCCGGGTCGAGCTCACCGACCACGAGCGCAGCGCAGCGGAGGACATGTTTGTCGCCTACCAGCAGCAGGTGCGGGACCTCGGGAAGACGTACCTGGCGGAGGTGCGGCAGCACACGTACGTGGCGCCCACCTCCTACCTGGACCTCCTCTCCACCTTCGCGCGCCTGCTGGAGGAGAAGCGGACGGAGCTGACGGCTATGATGCACCGCTACGCCGGCGGCCTGACGCAGCTGAAGAAGACGGAGGACCAGGTGGAGGTGATGCAGCAGGAGCTGGCCCGCATGCGGCCGCAGCTGGCGAAGAAGCAGGCGGAGACGGACGCGCTGATCAAGGAGGTGGAGCTGGAGAGCAAGCTGGCGGAGGAGCAGCGTGCCGTGGTCGCCATTGACGAGGCGGCGGCAAACGAGCAGGCGGCGGCGGCGAAGGAAATTAAGGACGCCTCACAAAAGAAGGTGGATGAGGCGCAGCCGCTGGTGGAGCAGGCGCAGCGTGCCGTGCTCGACCTCGACCCAAAGGCGCTGCAGGAAATCAAGGCCCTCAAGACACCCCCGCAGGGTGTGAAGTACGTGATTGAGGTCCTCTGCACGCTGCTGGGCGGCGTCTACAAACCGAAGCCGGTGCGTGACCCGCTCAGCGGCAGCGTGACCGTCCCGTACTGGGAGCACGCCAAGGTCACCCTGCTCACGGGCGAGTTCAAGAACACGCTGCTGAACGCCTACCCGGTGATTGTAGACACGGCGCCCAACGAGCAAATTGAGGAGGTGAAAAAGAAGATGACTAACGACATGTTTAAGAATGAAAACATCAAAAAAACATCGGTGGCCCTGCTCGGTGTTGCGACCTACATTCGGGCCGTGGTGGAGTACTACAAGCAGAACAAGATCATTAAGCCGTTGCTGGCACAGGCGGCGGCGGCGCAGCAGGCGTACGACACGGCGATGGCGGGGCTGAATAAGAAGAAGGAGGAGCTGCGCGTCATCAACGCGAAGCTGGCGGAGCTCACGAGCCACCTGGAGGCGGTGAAGAAGGACAAACAGGACCTGGAGGAGAAGGTGAATGACACGGATGTCAAGCTGACGCGCGCGAAGAAGCTTATTGAGGGGCTTGGTGGGGAGAAGGTTCGCTTTGGGAAGGAAAGCCAGCGGTTTGAGGAAGAGTTAAAGTACGTGGTGGGAAACGTCCTGATCAGCGCCGGCGTCGTGGCGTACATGGGGCCCTTCCTGCACAAGTACCGCGAGAAGGCGACGCAGGGCTGGCTGGCGATGTGCAGGAGGCACGGCATAAAGGTTTCCGAGGACTACGCCCTGGCGAAGTTTGTCGGGTCGCCCATTGACATCCAGACCTGGCGGCTGCAGCAGCTGCCGTCGGACGGGTTTTCCATCGACAACGCCGTCATCGTCAAAACCTCCCACCGCTGGCCGCTCTTCGTGGATCCGCAGCATCAGGCGAACAACTGGATTCGCAACATGGAGCGGGAAAATGGGCTGGTCGTCACACGGCTCTCGGACCCCGACTGCATTCGGACCATCCGCGGCGCCATCACGGAGGGACTCCCCGTGCTGCTTGAGAACCTCGAGGAGACGATCGACCCGATTCTGGAGAACGTGCTGCTGAAGCGGTTTACAAAGGAGGGCAGCGCCACCGTCGTGCACCTGGGCGAGCCCGTGGAGTGGAACGACAACTTCCGGCTGTACATGACAACAAAACTCCCTCGGCCGCACTACCTGCCGGAGGTGAGCACCAAGGTGACGCTGGTCAACTTCATGATCACGCAGCAGGGCCTGCAGGACCAGCTGCTGCAGCGTGTCATGATGAGCGAGCGGCGGGAGGTGGAGGAGAAGAAGCAGGCCCTCACGCTGGAGGCCGCGGAGAATCAGGCAAACCTGAAGCGAACGGAGGATAAAATCCTCGCAATTCTCTCCTCTGAGGGGAACATCTTGGAGAGCGAAACGGCCATTGAGGAGCTGGACAGCTCCAAGGTGCAGAGCGACCAGATTGCCAAGCGGCAGGAGGAGATTGAGGCCATGGAACGCATAAGCGACCGTACGAGGAGTTTGTTCATTCCGGTGGCTGGCCTTGGCGCCACCCTGTTCTTTTGCGTGACCGAGCTGGCAAACATTGACCCGATGTACCAAAACTCACTGAATGCGTACATCAGCGTCTTCCAGGAGTCGCTGCAGCAGAGCGAGGTCTCGGAGGAGGTAGACACCCGCATAGAAAACATTCGTACCACCTTTCAGAGGTCATTGTACAAGCGGATTTGTCGCTCGCTCTTTGCACGAGATCAGCTGCTGTTTTCCTTTACAATGTGCCTAAAGATCCACGACGTGGATGCCGAGCAGCTGCGTTGGTTGCTAATGGGCGGGTTTGAGTCGGACGATGACGCGCTGTCGCCAAATCCGTTTTCCTCGTGGCTCCCGGAGCACAACTGGAAGTTGGTTTGGCGCGCCAGCACCCAACTCCCGGCGCTGGCGGGCTTTGACAAGACGGTGAAGGAGTACGAGAGCTTCTTCTCCGCCTTCTACGATGCCCCGGACCCGCTGGCGGTGGAGCCGCCGAACGCGCTGGGGGAGAAGTTTGAAGGTCTGCTGCAGCTGATTCTCGTGCGCTGCTTTCGCGCCGACAAGATTGTGCCGGCGGTGACGGACTACGTGCGCGAGTTCCTCGGCGGCTACTTTGTGGAACCCCCTCTCTACGCCCTGGAGGACGTCGTCGACGAGCTCGCCCACGACCCGTCAGTTCCGCTTGTCCTCGTGCTCTCGCCCGGCGCGGACCCTAGCCTGGAGCTGGACCGCCTCGCCGAGCAGCGGGGAATGAGCAGCCGGCTGTACAAGCTGTCGCTTGGGCAGGGGCAGGGCGTCTTTGCGCGGCAGCTGATTGAGGAGGGGATGCGCGGGGGGCACTGGGTGTTCCTGCAGAACTGCCACTTGTACCAAGACTTCATGCCCGAGCTCTCCCGCATCGTAGAGAACTACAGCGACAGCGGCGCCAAGGCCACTTTGAACGGTCAGTACCGCCTGTGGCTCACCTCGCTTCCGAGTGAGACGTTTCCCATCTCCATCCTGCAGAACGGCGTGAAGCTGGTGCAGGAGCCCCCGAAGGGCCTCAAAAACAATCTCATGCAGTCGTACCTGTCAAACCCTGTGGCGGACCCGCAGTTCTTTAATTCCTCGAAGAAGCCCCACATTTGGCGAAAAATGCTCTTTGGGCTTTGCTTTTTCCACGCCGTGGTGCAGGAGCGCCGCCAGTTTGGGCCGCTTGGGTGGAACCGCATGTACGAGTTTAACGACACGGATCGCCGCATCAGCGTGCGGCAGCTCAACATGTTTCTCGACGAAAATGAGGAGGTTCCGTACGACGCCCTGCTGTACCTCACCGGCCAGTGCAATTACGGCGGCCGAGTCACGGACGATTGGGACCGCCGCTGCATAGTGGCAACCCTCTCCCTCTACCTCACGCCGCTGATCCTGGAGGACGACTACGTGTTTTCCCCCGACGCCCCCGACTACTACGCCCCGCCCTTTGGGGAGTACGACACCTACGTGGAGTACATTCGGGGACTGCCGTCCCAGCAGCCTCCCGCCATCTTTGGACTGCACGAGAATGCCGACATCACCAAGGATGAGCGGGAGACGCGGCTTCTCCTCGAGGCCACCCTGCTGACGCAGCCGCGTGAGTCCACGGGTGCGGAGTCGAAACTGGACCCCAAGGCAATGGTCAAGGAGCTGGCAAACCACGTTCTGTCACGGCTACCAAAGCCTTTTGATATCGAGGAGATACAGCGCATGCATCCAATTGATTACTCACAGTCGATGAACACGGTCTTGCTGCAGGAGGCAATACGATACCGGCGTCTGCTGCTTGTCGTACGCCAAACCCTTGCTGACCTGCAGGACGCCATTAGTGGAAAGGTGGTGATGAGCGCGGAACTGGAGGAGGTCTTCAATGCCATGTACGACGGAAAGGTGCCGGATGTCTGGAAGCGTCAGTCGTACCCGTCGCTGAAGCCCTTCGGCTCCTACGTGAGTGACCTGATTGAGCGTCTAGGGTTTCTTCAGAAGTGGTGCGACGAGGGCCCGCCACCCATGTTTTGGATCAGTGGCTTTTTCTTTACACAGTCTTTCTTGACCGGCGTCATGCAGAACTACGCGCGCAAGTGGAAGATCGAAATTGACAAACTCGTCTGGCAGTTTTCCGTGCTCGCGGAGGAGACGTGCACCACTGCCCCCGAGGAAGGGTGCTGCATCGGCGGCTTGTTCCTAGAGGGCGCGGGGTGGGACCCCACCAACGCCGCCATTTGCGAAAGTAGGCCAAAGGAGCTTTTTATAAAATTCCCCCTGCTGCGGCTGCTCCCCTGTCGCCCGCAGGAGCTCCCCGACACCCCGGTGTACCACTGCCCCTGCTACAAGACGACCGACCGCCGCGGCGTGTTGTCCACCACGGGCCACTCCACCAATTTCATTCTAACCGTCGACTTACCGAGGCACCCGGCGGATTCGGAAAACCACTGGGTGCTTCGCGGGGTGGCGCTCTTCACGCAGCTTCCCTTTTAGATGTAATGAATCATGTACTAGGAGACGTTCAGCAGCCGAGAAGAGAGCAACAAACAAAAAAAACAAACACAAAAGCAAAACAATACTTTGCGTTTCTGGACGTCTGTTAGTGATATGTACTGATTACCCCCCATGCATGTGCCTACGCCTGCTTGATGGGATCGCGCCGCCCCTCTGTTCAACCGTTTGCCCGTTATTCGTTTTTTTTTCTCTCTGGGTGTTTTTGCCAATGTGTTGCGTGAAGGAAGGTGCTTCATTCAGGGCCAAACAGTTAGTTAGTTGCGTGGTTCCCCCTTCCCCGACCTCCTCGTCCCCGTGCTTTGCGGCCGCCGCCTCCTGCGTGCGCGAAAAGGTCAAATGTCAGGCTGCGGGCTTCACGGTGCCTCTATCACAATCCCTGTTGCTGCTGCCGTTGCTGTTGCTGGCGCATCTGCGATACCGATGGTGATGATGCCGATGTGTTGGCCCATCGTGGATGCCGGCGGGACCCATCGCTTCCTCCTTTTTTTTCTTCCCTTTGCCACCTTTGCGCCTCTTTTACATCTCCCTTTTTGCCCACTCACGCAGAAAGGAAAAGAGAGACCAAACGCTGCTTGCCGTTGCTGTGCGCCTTGAAGGCTCTGCAGCTACCACCACCAGCAACCACACACACACACACACACACACACACACACACACACACACACACAC